GAAAACTAAGCACACCACATATTGTTGAAGAAAACAAATCGGTTCATAACAGGAGATTGTTATTAAATATTATTTGACGATGTTTTAACTGAACACTACACGTAAGTCGTGAACGTTCGCAAACCTGTTACCTTCTTTCTCACTCTAGGCTGTATGGCGTGTTGCCGTGTACTGGCCTACGTTTTACCGTAATGTCAGTTGTTGAGTCATACCGCGGATCGCGCGCGATGTTTCGTCGTTTTAAAAAATGTAGCTGTCAAATTGGTTTTTGAAGTTGGATCGTTGTTTTTTTTTTGTTTCTGACGTTTATTATCATGTGTGTATTACTAATATTATATTTAAAATTGTATGTGTAGCGCAGTTATTTTTTTTCATTAGAATTTGTAAATAATTTTTGAGGGTATTTCGGGAAGGTGGCAAAATATATTTTACATAATTATATATTTTGTTCCTATTGTATGAGGTCATTTGATGATAACTTAAACCCATATATATCTTTTAAGGATTTATCTCATCACGTGTAAAAAATTAGTTAATTTACAAACATTTCGCAAGTTATAAGTACAAAGGCATTGTTCCTTCTAAAGTTCCATTCTTACAAGTCCCTTCAGCGACACAAAGCAGTTCTGACGTCAAAACCGCTTGATTAATCATTTAAAAGTACCCAAGACTGAAGCAAAGTCTCTAAATATGGCAACACTAAAAATATAACCTCAAAGGCTGCCATGTCCGAGCGAAAACGCGGCGAGGGCGTTCAAAACCACGAACGTCGAATACAGTTACACGTCTCAATGCGACAAAGTTCCATAAACGCGGATACTCAACTACGTTACAACCATATCATAATAACACACATTCGTTGTTTTACAAGCACAATACCGTCGGTGGAATGACGTACTGAAACTTATTTGGTGGTGTTAGATGTTAATTAGGTAAACGACTTTCGACTTTAGTGGTTTGGGATAAGGTTGTAGGTGTAGTTTGGAGTTTGTAGTTGCATATTGGTTTAGTTGCAGAAGCCATTCGGACTGGCCGTAATCATATTACTGCAGTACCAACGCACAGTACTGAACGTGGGGCAGCATACATTAGGAAATGTAGTTTCGCTTTCTAGGTGGCTTTTTCTTTTAAATATGGGTTAAAGAGTAATTACCTTGTTGAAAGTTTCTAGTCAATAAATGTATAAATATAATTATCTATTCAATATAGAAAATACGACTAGATACAAGGAGTTAAAATAATATAAATCTCTTTACTACGTACTTACATACGAGTACCCATTTTTTTATGTAATAAGTCGGCAACCGAGAAGACGGATTACCTGATGGTAAGCAATCAGCGCCGCTTATGGACACCCTCAACAACAGAGGAGTTACGAGTGCGTTGGCAACCTTTTGGGGATTAGGGATTTTGAGATTTTGGAATTGGGGAATGATTTGGCCTCCGGTAGCATCACTCACACGGCGAAACACAACGCTGTGGTTGTTTCACGTCGGTTCTCTGCGAGGCCGTGGTATTACTCCGGTCGAGCTGACCCATTCGTGCTGAAGCATGGTTTTCCCACACATTAAAAAGTGTAAGTATGCTTTTATTCAATTATTAAGTATAGGCTTTGATTCAATTTTTCGAAAACAACAGAACTACTGATCGAGTTAGCTTCAAAATTAATTATGTTATGGGTGCATAATTAGGAACCCAGCCCAGAGCAGAACAAGAAAGAAGGTTGTTTTTTTTATGGGATAAGTCGGCAAACGAGCTGACGCATTACCTGATGGTAAGCAATCGGCGCCGCCCATGGACACCCGCAACACCAAAGGAGTTACGAGTGCGTTGCCGGCCTTTTGGGGATAGGGGTTGCGGATATAAGGATTGGGAAGGGATAGGGTAAGGGGAGGGAGTGGGCCTCCGGTAACCTCACTCACACGGCAAAACACAACGCTGTGGGTTGTTTCACGGCGGTATTCTGTGAGGCCGTGGTATCACTCCGGTCGAGCCGACCCATACGTGCCGAAGCTTGGCGCTCTTACACTTTGTTCTTGGACTTTCGTTTGAAACCAGTAAAAGTATAAAACTTCTTCTCGTCCTACCCGCTAAAAATGTGTCGGAATAAAAAAGTACCTATTTAATTATTCTACCCCCTCATAGGAAATAGTTTATTACGTGTGTCTCAATCTGACATAATTTGATACCTAATTGACCTTTTTTCAAAATGTATGTTTGTATATATACTGTTAAACCAGGCAGTGGAATTTTAGATCGAAAACACTTCTCTTCAAAGGGGTAATCTCAAACCTTCGATAATCAAGCACTATTGTCTAGAACCGTTTAAATGTTAAGTTATCAGTGCTTTTTTTGAGGGGAAAATCATCTAATGACTTCTCCCGCCCAGGGTCGGTCGGGAGGGAGTGTCAGACTCTTACTGACTAAAAATCCCCTCTTTCCTTACCCCGCAACCCCTCGCTTACCCTGCTACCCCAAGTTATAAGTGCCGCGTATCAAAAATAAGTATTTCTAATTATATCTCAGTGTGCAGCCCATTAATTAATATAGTGTGGGAGAGCTATGCTTCTGCACGAATAGGTCGGCTCGTCCGGAGTCATGGCCTCGCAGAAAACCGACGTGAAACAACTACAGCGTTGTTTTTCGCCGTGTGAGTGAGTTTACTAAAAACCCAGTCCTAGCTTTGAAAATCTTTAAATACCTACTACACATACACTTCGAAATTACTTCTGCAATATTAACCATCTTATAAATATTTAAAGTATCCAGCTATTCCACTATCGCCTAATAAAATATGCATCGTCCACAGGTGCTCGCAACAAAAAGAATCCACGCCATTTCTTATTTACACCTCGCCTTGAATGGTATCGTCAAATGTTTCGTAATAATTTAACAGCCATTGTATTATGGATCGACTTGTAAACAAATCCTTCTACCGTGGAACTTCTTTCTAATAGGACTCATTATAAATACATACTACTAATTACCTTGGCGTGTAAGTACATAATATGATAAAAATATTTCAATATTTTCTTACACAAATAAGTTTTTGTATGGTATAGGTCAGCAAACGAGTTAACGGCGATTACCTGATGGTAAGCAATCAGCGCCGCTCATGGTCGCTCGTGACACCAAGCAACTAATGCGTTGCCGGCCTTTTAGGGATAAAGGTTTTAGATATTTAAGGATTGGGAAGGGATTGGGGGAGGTTGGGCCTCCGGTAACCTAACACACACGGCGAAACACAACGCTGTGGTTGTTTCACGCCGGTTTTCTGTGAGGTGAATGTAAATTTTATTATCTTTTTTAACCGACTTCAAAAACAGGAGGTGGTTCTCAATTCGTCGGGATCTGTTTTTTTTGAGTAGTTTAATTCACTGTGTCATTGATCACAAAAGCTACTATCAAACACAAATCGCCATTAAATAAAAAAAAGAACATCAGCTGTGTTGAGAGTGCAACCGCAATAATGTACCCCGGCCTGGACCAGGAGAAGGCAGTTTTGAGTCAGTAAGAGTGACACTCACTCACACATCAGCCAGATAAGTCATTTGATGATTTTCCTTGTTCAAAAAAACATCAGATATCGAAAGGCGTGCCCGAGATCTGTGCTATTTATCAATTTCGGAGTTTTCAGCATTGTTATGATAAATGGATAGGTATTATTTTGTTCCTCCTTTTTTTTTCAAATTAGAAGGGTTGTGAAACTTTATAATAGTAAAATGACTAGGACAATCCTTTTGAGAAACCGACTTCCAAAAGGAGTCGGTTTCTCAATTCGACCAAATAAAATGCTTTTTGTTGTTTATTCGCGAGTAACTTCGTCGTGTATGAACCGCTTTTGATGTTTTTTTTTATTAGATTGTAGATATTTTTAATGCAGTCTCATTATAAGGAAACTGATAATGATAGACCAGAAGAAACCAAGGGGCTCTTTAAAAAAATGTAGGGACAACTAACACATGTGTAGGTTTTTATCATTAGGTATAAGGATCCAAAAAAGAGGAGGTAGGTGGAGGCTTTATTGAGGGAACTCCTCAACAGACTTGGCACTGACTTTACCGACCGACAAAATTATGAAATACATAGTTATTTAATATTATTTCCCATTTAACTAATACAATAAAAAGAAACGTATTACTATACAAAGTAAACTGACTTTTGCTTTTTAGTTGACCAATTGTTAAGAGTCAGTAAAAAATTATTTGTCTATGTATATGCAGCATAACTATAATTTATTTCTATCTACTTTCACATAGAATCTCAGCGAACGTCGACGTGGTTACTGGCCACTCGTAATGTGAAGTAAATGGCGCCATGATCCAGCAATTAGACACAGGCTTCACAATTACAGCTACACACACATGTACAAAATGTGGGGGTGTCATATCTCCCAACCGAGTGCCAGATGCTTGTGCCAAATTGTGCAGAAACTATAAACTTAACTCCATTGTATGTGAATAAAGTTATGTCCAATTTTCTGGATTTTTACATCGAAAGAAAAGCCGAAAAAGAGTATGTGTTTTTAAAGATTTTTTGTGCGTTTCATATCTTTGCTAGAAAGAAATTTTCCGCCGTTTTCAAACACATTTCCATTCAAGAGTACTAATCCTTTGTAATTGGGTAGTGTCCTAGGTCAAAAATAAATTAATTCGACATTTTATTACAATAAAATATTCAAAAATAACTATACTTTGATTCATCGTTCGATCGATACACTAAGTTTTAGATATTTTTAGCTCATTTTTCAGAAATAAGTTAGCTATTTGACGCAAAACTGTTATGACGTCATACCTCAGTTTTTCATACAAATTTCATAGAAAAGTATCGTTTTTGACATTTGAATAAAAGTATTGAATTTGACTGGTTGGAAACTACCGTATTGTTTTCTCCAGCCAAGGTTGCGGTTGCATAGTCGAGGCCATGGTTTATAGCGAGAGGAACTGGGAAGGTGTCTCGTCTTTCTGCGGAGTGCTTGAGGGAACTATGCTCCTCACGCCCTAGCCGCCGCAGTAGGTGACATTCGGGGCGTCGAGGATCAAGAGATGATCTCCGGCCACCGTAAGCGCGGGTCTGCGGACGGCGAGTAAGAGTAGCTCGCCCGACCAGAACCAGACCCGAGCGTTTGGCGCGTAGCGTTCCGCGCGTGCTTCAAAGAGCCAATAGCCACACCACAGACGGGGCCCTATAGAGCTGATGTTCAGCCGGGGTTAAGCGCAATGAGTCGCTGCGCCTCGGCCCAGAGTAGGAGAAGGAACTGGGGTGTTTTTAGTCAGTAAGAGCCTGACACTCTGTCTCGCCTTACCCTGGGCAGAAGAAGTCATTTGATGATTTTCCCTTGACAAAACAAAAAAAGGCTGCGGTTGCAAGAGAAGGATCGGTGTTGTTTTTAATCAATAAAAGTCTGCCTCGCTTTTCACACAGGATTGGAGAAGTTAAATGTTTCTGGGTATGTTAGTAAGTATAGTGATTATCGTTTTCATAAACACAGTTAAATTATTTGCTGCCTTAGAAACCTATTTGATGATTTCATGAGATCGTCAAAGATATTACAATGCGCTACTCGTCGTATAAGTTGCTTAAAGTTATATTGTCCACTTGCTTTATCACAACATGTGGTTATCGTCTTTATAAATTACTAGAATTCTTTCACACAATTCTGGACTATTTTATAAGTGGAATAGAGTCGAAACAATAAGTAGTACTTACATAACTTGGTCTCGCTCCTTCGCTTCACACGCAGCTTGATGACACACGATGAAATGCACTGCGAACAAATTATAATATCAATTTGTAACCTGATTTTCTAGAAAATTCTAGTGAAAATTCTCACTTAATTTTCTACCACTAAACCCTTTTAGAAAATTGAAATAGGTGACTTTATAGGTACAGCAAATCTAAAATGCCATTCTAAGGCATTTTGGTAGCAACTTAAATATAAATTGGGATAATAAGAAAGGTCTACCATGTACCTAAGTTAAACGTTTCGAGAGTGTGAATGTCACCAAAAATTTTGTGGCACACTATCCACAATTTTATATATTTTTTTGCTAGATCAATGCTAGTTCTTGAATGTATTCTAAGATAACATGTAAAAAGAGACGGACTTATCTAAAGCAGAAAATATTATTCAAGACATCGTCGTAAAGACATTGAAAACTCGAAGTAGAAAAGCCCTAACAACTGAACCAGTTCACCAGAAAGTGGAGATAACAGATGCTCAGCCACTATGCCATTTAGATCGTCATTTATTTAAGTACCCAGCTATTTTCCTAGTGGCAACCCTCACGGAAGGGCGGCAAGAATGCCCCAATGGCTACCTCTTTAAAAATAGATTGATTCAACGTTCACTTAGTGCGTTCTCCGCCGCAAAAATAACGTTGTGGTTGGAAAACTTGACTTGGGGCTGTGAAATATTTTGTCTGTTTTACCTACTTATTAAAAAAAACAGAACTACAATTTTCTTTAATATAAATACCCAGTACTTGTTTTTTCCCCTAAAGTGGACCTTTAAACCGGAAAATGAACTAGTAAATATGCACTTCGCAATTACGTTCCTAGTTCAGCAGCCTAACTATGTCTTTGATCAAAATTTCTTTTTTTTTATCCAGTATCACTTGTTTTATAGTGTGATCTTCCATAAAAACTTAAACTATTGGAATAAAACATCTAGCTTAATTTATAGCTTTTAAATAAATAGCCAATCCGTACCAATTTCAAAATTTTTGAAGTAATTAATTTTTAATCAAAAAGGCTTACTGATCGAAACATATTGCATAAAAAATTATAAATTCAGTAAAATAACGATGTTCCGATTAATATCATTACATATGAATATCACAACAAAACTATGACCACTTTAAAAACTATTATTGATCTAAGAATTATTTATACGATAGGTCGGCCATCGAGATAACTCATCGCCAATGCAACACCAGAGTTCCAAGTTCCTTTTGGGTTGGACAGATGGATCATATCAGATGGACAACTAGCGCCCCCCATGGACACCCGCAATTAATATCACAGAAGTTATGAATGCATTGCCGGAATTTTGTGGGTTATCAATGATTTTAGAATAGGGCTTTATGGTTGAAGGAAGATTGATTGAACCTTTGGTAAACACATCATACATGTTGTTTCACGCCGGTATTCTGTAATGGCGTGGTATGACTCCGGTCGAGATAGCCCATCAGCGAAGAAGCAAGGCTCATCATGGGGGATTTTTGGATCATGAGTTGATATTGCGTGGGTTTACGGATTTAACAATCACGAGTCCTTTTCTCTCTTGAGTCGCAACTAAGTTACTGATGTTTCTACTGTGTATCCAAGGTTACTCACCTCATGAATGTGGCCGAGCACCTCTGCCCTCGACATGTCCTCCAAGCGAGTCTCGTTCACGTCCATGATCTCATCAGCCAACTCTAGGTTATCCCAATTGCCGGCTGATGGGGAACCTGTAAGATAAGTTTTATTTATTGTATTGCCACAGTACACGTTGAGTACATATTTTTTGGAAATTTTGGATTGCGGAAGACTGGCCTTTATAACATGCTGGGGAAATACATGTATTTCAGGAATATAAGCATGTTCATTTACAAATGCCTCGTTGAAAAATGTTAGGTCCAAAATCCAATGAACCGAAAAAACCTGGTATTCTACACATGCGGACTTAGTCTAGTTTTTTTACATATGATTTTGACGTGTAAAAGTGCTGTTTTATGGCCTATTTACAAAAATAAATTCATTGTTTCATTAAAAATTGTCTAAAATATATCATTTTTTTAATATTGTTGAAATCAATGAATAGAACTGTGATTGTTTTTTAATATTTTCCTACATTGATAAGCCGAAATAATTAATATTTCACAAAATAAATCATTTAATTCGTGTTTATTAGTTGAAATAGTTAGGTTGTCTAATTAACTATCAAGTTGTTATTAATTTTCTAGGCGTTACTTAGTTTTTTGATGGACAATAAGGCGCTATCAAAGTCAATAATGACGCTGTCAGACAGAGTTTAAATTTTTGTTTGTGTTTGTGCTTTGTTTCGTGTTATGTAGGCATGTGTGGAATAATGTTTCTTTTTCTTTTTCACTGTGATCCTATTGGTAAAAGCAAAGCTTGCTCTTAGCAGAAGAATTGTAAATTGTGTTGATCTTTTGTACCGCGTCCCTTAGCCACCAAGGTGTCATAGCATAGTATTGTTTTAATACCTTCCATGCAGGCTACCTCAATAAAAGAAGCACTAACCCAGAAAAACAGAAAAGCCTTTGTAACAAATTTTTTAAACTCTCGACCACACTTTTCAGAGTTCTTTTTAAAACTTTGAGGTGTATCCACAATCCGGGAAAGGGTTTAAAAGAAAAAGTCAAAAGCGTGTTAAAAAGAAGACCTTGTCCAGACTTTGCCTAATTAATTTCGTTTTATAAAGGAATGACCAGATTATAAGCCATTAAAAATTAAAATTCTGTTATGTTAATTGTCACATTCGCTGGGTGGTTTTTTGTTTGTCTCGAAGGACCAAGTCCTTACTTCTAATTGTCTCCTAATTAAATAGTAAGTAGATCCGTAGTTTCCTTACTGATCACAAAGACAGTGGGTATCTACTCAATAAGTGTCTTCGACTTTTCGTAGTGCATACATAGCGGGTTTAATAAACGAATGTGTGAATGAATGCGGAAAATTGTACGGACGGAAAATTGCATGGACGGTTCTTGATCTCACTTAAAATATCACCCTGGTGGCCACCGTCAGCACGTAGTTAGTTCGTGGTTCGGTGCTTTAAGGCTGTTGACTATTTAGCCAGTGAAATCCTTGAGGTGCTTTACAATATTAATGTTCCTATTGTTCGATTGTAAATAAGCCACAAATTTGAATGCCCAATACTATGACTAGGCTAGTTAAATTCAATTTAAAATAAAAATTGTATTTTCCTGTCCTTTAGACTTTTTCTGTCCCTAGTAGGTAATAATTATTTAAGAACAATAGGTAGGTACTATTAATTCTATCGACTATGAACAGACAGCCGACAGACAGACTGCCTGAGTGTCTACCTCAAGTGTATTTTGCTATGATAGATACCTATGTGCATTTCCCTACTCCTATCTATTTGTAATAGCAATAAACACAATTATGATTAACCATCTTATGGTGACTATGACAAACTAAACACGCTAAAATTCGTTGTTTAGTTTCATTTCAAAGAAAATGGTCCTTATTAGGACGAAAGGACCAAATTTGGGCGCATGAACGAATGAAAACTAGCGATTTTCCAGATTTTTGTTTTCTGTTTTTTCACTAACGTACTGTTCAGTGATGTATTTAGTGTTAAAGAATGTCGTTAAAACTAAACATATATAATACAAAATGCTTTTCATTGAAACCTCAACACTTTCAGAGGTCGCGTCATTTTCGACGAGATAACCTAGCAAAAAAGAAACAATCAAAATGGCTAACTTTAAAAATAAAATACTCATATTCAACACCGAAACTAAAAAATAATGCGTTCTATCTTTATACAAAACTTGTACTTACCGTATAATTTGATTTTATTATCCTTAGTTTGCACTACAATAATAACATATCCCTCTAAATCAACAGATTTGCATTTCACTGTTGTCATTTTATCAATCGCATTTATCTGCGTGGTGGGTGCGTTAAAAGTATTCATTTTGCTTTAATAATAAACTATTTACTATTTCTAAACACAAAATAGCTATGAAAAAGACTCAATCACGCCCCCGTCGTAAGAATCAATGAATATTTTTTAATTTCATGCCAACGTTTACGCCAACGCCACTTCAAACACAGCCCACTTTTTAAACAATTATTCATTTTTATTATTTTCCACATTCTTTATTTAAATCTAACCCGGAGATAGTAAATCGGCCATCATTATTTTTGATTCTCACTCTTCACAAACTGAACACTCTTCGAACATCTAAATTAATAATATCACAATTTATTAATAAGTCTGTATTAACGTAATTTCACATGATTTTAATGTATTGTCGAGGTATAGGCGAATATCAGAGCATTTTCCCCGTGACAAGTCACGTTATGGTGTTTAGAGTCAACGCGGTCGGTTTATCACATTCCCTGAATGTTTATTACATATTTCTATTCACGTATAGATAAACTGAAGGATTTTAGATACTTTTTCGGTTATTAGTGTAATATTTAAGGCGTATCGACGTGTTTTTGAGAGTGAAAACCGGTCCCACGTCCGCGGGCTGGGTGGTCGCCGCGAATGGATACGACTATCCCATTTTCGCGCGATCAATAATGCTCCCTACCCAGCATCCCTTCAGACTCCCACAGACTAGCGTTCTATTTTTCCGTTTTTTCTTATGAAGACGCGCATCTATTTCTAATTCATGAAAATGGCAAATAAAGCATTTAAAAAGGTCAAAAATAAATATAAAAATCAAAAAAATAGTTAACAGAGGACAAAAGAGTTATTCTCCAGGTCCCACCGAGATTTGAACTCGGATCGCTGGATTCAAAGTCCAGAGTGCTAACCATTACACCATGGGACCGGTTGGTTGTCAAGGTGAAATTATTGTCCAATATGTTATAATTGTATTAGAAAGAAAAACATATTTATTGGAATAAGTTGAAAATTATTGCAAACCAAATTTCAAACATCTCTTTCTTTACGAAAGCTTTTTTCAATATTTTCTGTCTAATTATTTACCTCCGTGATACTGATTGTCATACTGTCAGAAAGTAAAGTTAAATAAAGCGCCATCTACACATTTTACTTGAAACTAAATATAAACATACGGTTTAAATGTTTTACACATAATATAATTAGTAAAGTAATAAAGAAAACCGAGCTTACTAAACATTCTAAATCATTAACTACCTTTATGCGAAAAAAATATATTTTCAATAAACATATTTTTGGTAAGCTCTACAATTTTTACAACTTGCAAATAAACATTTGTATTATATGGTCTAGCAACACCACTTGTCAGTTTGTCACTGACTTCGCTACGGTATGGTTGTCATTTCGTCCGTCTATCAAAGAACGTGATAGATGAATGGAAAATAATTAACATTATCGCAGCGAAGACATCTCTCGTATCTCCTCGAAACATAACGTCGCGCGTGTAACAACACCTAAGTGATTTTATTAAAGTGTTCGCTTCTACACAACACCGCCATGATCGATGTTAGAAACAAAGATGGCGGAATAATACGGTGATCATAACCAAACGCGTTGTTTTGTCGTGTGTAGCGTTATGTGCTGTAGTGGGCGGCGGCTGCAGCAGTGTCGGGGTGCGTGAGTGAGGAGGAGAGGCGCGATGGGGGCGCGGCCGGGGTGATGCCGCCGCGGCCAGCGGCCGGCCGCGCGGCCATGGCGGCCGACAGCGAACGCCCGCCGCTCGCTCTCTTCACCGCTGTCTACGACTATGTGGCACAAGGAGAGGATGAGCTTTCCTTGCGTCGCGGCGAGATCGTCGAGGTGTTGTCGAAGGACGCCAACATCTCCGGCGATGAGGGCTGGTGGACGGGAAAGATCGGCGATCGCGTCGGTATATTCCCTGCCGTATACGTAACGGAGGAAGACCCGCTGGCCGTGGAGCCGCCTCGCGTCTCCTTCTCCGAGCTGAAACTGGAGGAAGTGATCGGGGTAGGCGGCTTCGGGAAAGTGTATCGTGGCTATTGGAACGGTGAAGTAGTAGCGGTGAAGGCGGCGCGTCAGGACGCGAACGAAGATATCGAAGTTATAAAGGAGAGTGTGTTGCAAGAGGCGAGACTGTTCTGGGTGCTGCAACATGAGAATATAGTGTCATTGAAGGGCGTCTGTCTGGGGGAACCGAACTTTTGTCTGGTGATGGAATATGCTCGCGGCGGGCCTCTCAACCGAGTATTATCTGGTCGTAAGATACGGCCTGACATCCTAGTGGACTGGGCCATTCAGGTGGCGCAGGGCATGGCGTACCTTCACGTTGGCGCGCCCATGTCTCTCATCCACAGAGACCTCAAAAGCTCTAACGGTAAGTTAAATCTAATAAAAATAAACACTACAGCTGATCTAATTCTATAGTATGTACCTGTTGGCTTGCTTAGCTTGTGTGGTAAATTCTACTGTTATAGTTTAGCTCTCTCCTATACCTAGCTAACTTGAGAGTTTTCTCTTGTAATCTACAAATACCTATTAGTAGTTTTTTAGATAGTTTTAGTGATTTACATGTAAATTAGTAAAGACTTCCTAGTTAGAAGTGTACCTGTTTTATTGATTCAAACCAATTTCTTAAACAACAAAGGAAACAACTTCCTGATGTACCTATCTTGGTTATCTTATTGCCCAAATGTCATTAACCTACATCATTATCAGTTGCCTAAATATCCTTGAAACTCATAACCCCAAGGTTACAAGCACAGCTGTGTTATCAAAACGGAAATCGTCCACATACCAATAGATAACACTATTGACTTATAGATACTTTTCCTATAAAGTGTCGGTGCCTTAAATGATCATACTTAATCAATTTCGGACAGTTTATAATTCTGGTATTCCATAATCTGGTCTTTTGTTGCAACCTGGAGTGTTAAACAGTTACATCTAGAATCTAGATCAACGGTTCCAGTATTTAGATATGATTTTATCCTCGTAGACTAACAACAATTTTATTATTTACCTAATTAATGAATGTAGGTATATTACAAATATAAAAAAATATATTTTTGAACAGTTACTTATATTCTTATGGGAAGGTTTTAACCACATGTCAGTTTTCTTTTTCTGACTTAAAACAAGTGGCAAAAATTATCTGGCTATTATACCAGCTTTTCAGAAAGCTTTGGATTTGGATTGGATTTATATAATTAAGGGCTGATTTTTCATTAGTCAGATAAATGTTATCTGAGGAATTGAATTGTTGCTCTCAGTGACTTGTGCAAACATTCTGTGATGTGACAGCATCATAATTATTCCCCAGGTAACTTTTATATGACCATTGAAAAATCAGCCCTAATTAACAAAAATCCCCGATATTTACGGGTTTTTAGCCATCTGCTTACTCTATCTAAACCACTAAAATTGTAATTTTAACATTAATTTGCCATTTTGAACCATAATTGAACAGCTGTTATGTATACTTCAATACAATGTGTTTTGTATATGCCTAATGTCACTATTGATTTGTACCTTAAAGTTGAAAAGCTTAATTGGCCTCAGAATAAGGATAAATAATAATTAATTAAAACAAATCATTATTTTTCAACTGAACATACCAACAAAGACTTTGTTTCCTGCCATAGACAAAATTACCAAGACTGTCAAATTATAAAAAACCTTGAGGACATTTTCTTTTATTTTTTCTTGTTTATGGTGTTGGTGTAATAATTACTTAACACCTGTAATTAGCAGTGGCCTTTAAAGTCTCTGCTATGTGGTATTGTAAGCTATAAATGGCACCACACTGCAGATGTCAATTGAATTTTTCTCACCTTTTAGGGGATCACATATTTAACACTTCTTAAAACTGAACTTAATTGGGATCATTAATGATTGCTGGTTTATCCACTAGCTTAATGAGCCTTTTGGTCTAATAGAGTCTTTCAAGTTAAGTATCCATTGAATATATGTTGAATTTTAAAACCTTTGATAAAATATTCATAATACTTAACCTGAATTAAACATGAAAATATAAGTAAACTATTGCATTGAATGTTGAAAAAAAAATGTTGGTAATTTAATTTTTTTTTTTTTCGTATAACACTACTTAGGTACTTATTCTTACCTAACCCACTTAAAAATAACAATCATGCTACAATAAGTATCTGGCAGCAGCTATAAGTGATATTTATAAGCAATTTTTTAATGTCTTATTTTTTGACCGACCTATTACACCTAGTACATTTCATTATTAAAGTTAATAGGGCCACAAGTGTCACAAGCTAGGGTCTCTGACCTCCTTACCTCATTTCATATTATTTTCAAGATTTAAAAAATTATATAGATGAAGTTATTTACTTTAATAGTTACTGGAATAATGTTTTTGTGTAAGCAATAATTGGTGAAACATAATTCTGTTTATTTTGCTAAGGTAATATCTACTTTCATAATGTTTTTTTAGTGTTTAGCATTTCTATATTTGCCAACTTGTGCAAAATATTGTGTTATTGTGTTAAAATGAATATTTCCATTGATTTGGCCATTTTATTCTTACAATTTAAAAGTATTTATTTATGAATTTTCTTTAGATTCAAACAATATTGCTACCCAGTAAATTAATACTTTAGGATCAATTGAAGCTTGTCATTATGGTACAATGGTATAAAATAAATAACACAACAATACATAATCCCTTGAATGTTGGTATATTAGAGACAATAGAAAAAACATTGTGTAGATCCACATTCTGGCACACAAAGAAACAGCAATGAAATATTATTATTTTTTATTTTATTTATTCATTTATTTGACTCCCCAACAATTGAATACACTCATTACTGAAATGTAAAAAAACGACTTTAAAATTTTTGTACACACACACCGAACAATTTAGGCCAAATTAGAACTATAAATTGAAATAAATATTTAAAACCACAGGCACAGACAAAATTGACAAAGAAATAAAATAAATTTAAACATTACAAATATAAGTA